AAGGGAGCAGTGTACCTTACTTCAACCTTATTGTTATTATTATTATTATGAAATCGCAACCTTCTGACTCAGAGGCAAAAGTCCTTTCACTGCATTAGGCTGACAACAAATATAAACTATACACTGTATTGTAAAGAGTAACTTGTACATTGGATAGATATGAAGCAACCAACTAAAATACGATTTGGGCCTTTGGTCACTATGTTGCCAATGTGGCAATTAACATAAAACCATATAATTGCAAATAACTTAATGGGGAAGTAAGATAAGCATTCAATAGGACCTTTAGACAGCATTCTGATCAGGAAAGCAAACGGAGGTATGAAAATCAGCACTGCGCTTGGTAGTTAGAAAGCATAGGTTGGAGAGACAGAGGGGAGGGACATCGAAGGTTATCCTGCTCCATAAGGTGTAATAATATAAATAATATATTTCCCAAAGTATACAGTCAATTCACTTTACAGTATATTCTGTGAAGCACTTTGAGACGTCGAGAAGACATGAAAAGCTCTATATCAAATGCAAGGATTATTATTATTATTTATAATAGGAACACAGGAACAGGAGTAGGCCATTCAGCCCTTCGAGCCTGTTCGGTCATTCTATGAGATCATGGTTGATCTGTACCTCAACTCTTAAAACGCCACTTCCTTATACTCTATCTGGATTTTGGTGTACCCCAATGGGATCTGATATGGAAGGGAGATTATCACACTCAGAGATACAGTAACAAGAAACCAAGATAATTTTATACATCAGAAAATCAAGTTGCAAGAAAAAGTTAAGGAATGTGGATAGGTTCTCTTAGGAAAAGGAACCACTTCAAGGTGACTTCATGGAAGCTGAAAATTACAAAAGTTATTTACACAATTCATTGATGTAAATTAGAAACCAAGAGTAAGAACAATTCAGAACTTTGATACAAAGCAATAAAACTTTTGGAAATTGTGCAAGTTTTTAAAAAGCAAAGGGGTTTAAGAGGTAAATAAACCTGACTCAGTGGATAGTAGTCTTGTCTCTGAGTCAGAAGGTTGTGGGTTGAACCGATAGTCTGGATTAACACTCCAATACAGTGCTGGGGATGTGCTTCATTGTCAGAGGAAGCGTGCTTCGGATAAGATGTGAAACCAAGGTCCTGCCTGCCTGTCCAAGGGACCTAAAAGCTCCCAGACCCCATTTGGCGTGAAGGGCGCTATATAAATGCAAGTAGTTGTTGTTGTCATTCACTCCATTGCTGTCCATGGGATATTACTGCGTGCAAATCGGCTGCCTCATTCAACAACGGAATGCACCTATATAGCACCTTTCACATCGCAGAGCGCTTAACAGTGGCGGAAAGAGGGTGGGGGGCGGGGGGAAGAAGGTGACCAAAGCCACAGTTGAAGCGGAAAATCTTCAGGTGTGATTTCAAGATGAGCAGAGTGGGAAAGACAGAGGAATTAAGGCAAGGAGTTCCAAAGATTTGGGGCAGTGGCTAAAAAACATGGCCGGCAATTGTGGAGTGGGGGGACAAGGGACCTTGCCAGCTAATGAAGGTGGCAGTTAGAGGAGTGTGGTGTGAGCAGATCAGAGAGGCAGCGAGGTGCTGGGCGTGAAGAGATTTGAAAGTGAGAGTGAGGATATTAAAGTTGATCCATTTTGCAACAAGGAGCCAGTTGGGAGTCTGGCAAGAACTGGGGTGATGGAGATGCAAGCCTGTATGGGTGAGGACACAGATGGTGGAGTTTTGAATCATTTGAACCGTGTTCATAGCGGAGCTGGGGAGATCGGTAAGGAAAAAGATTGAAGCGGGAGCATAAATGAGAATTTCAGCAGCTCGTGAAGCAAGATGGAGCGAAGGGCGGCAGTGTTGCAGAGGTGGAGGAAGTCTATCTTGGTGAAGAGAAAGGGAGGACTGGGGGAAATCGAAGCCGAAGCCAAAGTTGTACAGGTTCGGTGAGTCAGAGATAAGCAGGGGAGATGAAGGAGTTCAGAACTGCAGGTGAGAAGATGTTGATAATAATAAATAATAATAATCCTTGCATTTGATATAGTGCCTCATCACGTCTTCGCGACGTCTGATAAGCGCTTCACAGGATATACTGTAAAGTGAATTGACTGTATATTTTGTGTGGGCGAAACCCGGCAGCCAATTGATGAGAGCCAAGGAGGATGGATTCTGTCTTATCCATTCTGGCTCGCCCACAAAATACACAGTCATACCACTTTATAGTATATTCTGCAGCGATACTTCTACCAACTGAGCCAGCCTATAAATCGCACAAGTAAGGGCTGCTGTAACTCCCTCGGTGCCCATCGGTTTACACATAGTGCATCATAAAGATTGTTACATATTATTGAGTCTAAACGTCCACTCAATACTTGCCTGACCTTGAAGACCTTTTAATTAAAATATCATTTTTTAAATCATCTATAGCTCACAGATAAAAATACAAAATTACATTTATATACCGTGTTTCACATCAGAAGGACACCCCAAAACACTAATATCAGATATAACTTCAAAAGAAACTGAAATATTGGTGAGAGTTGAAAGAGGAACAAGGACTCAAAACTCTACACCGAAAAAAGGTAAACATTCGTAGAATGTATTGGCACATTAAATATACAACAACAAGATTATATTTGTATAGCGCCTTTCACGTTGGGAGGACGTTCCCAGGCGCTGGAAGAAATGTCAGAAATGTATAGAAATGTCATCTAAATTGTTATTGCTTTGCTGAACTATGTGAATCATGAAAGAAGCATACAAAACTACAGTGCAATGTAGCCAAAATCGCACCAGTATCCAAATCATTCAAGATTCTGAAACAATTTATGAAAAAATAGCATCTTTGAAAAAGCTAATTTAGAGAAAGTTTAGAGAACTTCGTTGGAAATACGAATGGAAAGTGTCATAGACTAGAGTCGTTAGAAGAATATAATAATAATAATCCTTGCATTTGACATAGCGCTTTTCACGTAGATTACATATCTTCCTGTAGAGAAGTGTAGAGAAAGCCACATAGTCATTTTGGAAACATATAAATCACAATGACATCTGACAATTTAACTTCACTCATTATACAAACAATCCTTTGAACAAACAGTTTCACTCATTACTGGAGCCTCTGCATAAGGAAAGAGTCTAATAGGAGCTCAACATAGCGTTACAATAAGAATTTAATAAGTCCTATAGCATTATTCAAGTCCCAATCTGAATTGTAATTCCCAACAATGAGATGCATGAGTTACAAAAATCATTTAAAAGAACTTGTCAAAAGAACATGGATTCTTACAAGCACAGACACTAAAAAAGGGATGAATAATTTACAATGTTCAATATATTGCTAGACTTGTAAATCAGGGATTTATTTACCTTACAAGCTTGACGTATTCTTGACGCATTTCACTAACAAGCTGGGGTTTAACTTGGGTTTGGTTAAGGAGCATTAAGATCCAGTTTGTGCTTTAAAACACATTGGAGCAACTGGATATAAATCACACCTTGTCCAACTCTTGGCATTAGTTTGGAAACAACTCAGGGTGACCTCTCTTAACCTTCTAACTCAAGTGAAAACAGCCCTAAATTCACAAGTCTCTCTTCATAGCAAACTCTTTATCTGCAGCAATACGCTAGTGAATCTAGAATGGAATATTCCTCCTATAATTGGGTTCCCAAAGCCACACATAACACTCCCAACTGAGCCCTATCTTGCATTTCTCCCAAGTGATGATGGATTTGGTCCAACAATAGGTTGTGCCCTTGGAAGCCTGCTACCACACTAAATTAATTTATAGTTGATAAAAATGTCAGCAGTCTTAATTTTCCATGGTACCTGACTAGCCATTTCCATCAATTGACATTGAGAAAGGTTATACATTGTACTATTTGAACCCAGTTCAAAAATTTCATTTTGGAACTAATCAGGCCCACTTGTAATGCCAACTGAAAGCGGTACAGGCTGCTATGGAGTCTCCAAAGAATGTTAATCATTCAATGCAGAAAAAAATATAGCAGCCACAGACAGCAAGCTAGACATACAAGACAAATAGTCAATACACCTACCACATAAAAATGGACTTAAAAAACTAAACTTTTTAAATTAAGCCAGAATGATGCACTAACCCATTTACAGTTTACAATATTCTCCATTGGTTAGGAACTTCTGACATGCCTAAGCACCTTTGACACGTCTGCAAACAGATTTACAATTGTGAGCATCTTAGGATACACTGCAACAACTGAAGTCAAATACTTATCCACATAGGATTACACATTTTAAAATGGTTAATTAAAGGTAATCCGTTTCAAAAGAAACTGTACCTCAAGATTCATGGCTGTGATCATATGCAAATCGTTTTGGCTGATTTGATTAAACATTTTCATAGTGTACATGGAGTGAAAGTCCATTATGTATCCATTTGCACTTCATGCAATAATGTACATTAGCAAACAATTTTAAAAAAATATTCTGGAGCTAACAGACTACAGTATATAACCAGTTATTCTGCAGAATGGCTCATGAACCAAAGAAAGATGACAGTTCAGTGCAACATTACATTTCAGAACCCTGACACATTTTCCTACATAGCATTCGTCAACTTTTAAAACAAATCTTAAGCACCTCAGCATATTTAGACGTTATACGGGACTACATTCAATATCAAGTATCTTCGCCCACAAATATACCGTCAATTCACTTTACAGTGTCTTCTGTGAAGCGCTTTGGGACGTCCTCCCGACGTGAAAAGCGCTATATCAAATGCAAGGATTATTATTATGATCCGTATTTCCGGAGTGTGGTGTTTGACTGAGAGCAAGCTTTGATCCGGCTTGGCTTGAGAATGTTGCACCCCAAACATTGACCAAGCACTGAGTGCAAGTTGCAAATGGAGCGAGGAGGAGGAAGAGGAGGAGGAGGACAGGGGTGGGGTGGAGAAATGGCAAATAATTCACAATTCCTGCAACCATACAATACCACATGTGCATCCAAACCCGTGGCCCCCCCATCCCTTACCTATTCCAGGTGCCACATAGATGAAGTAGAGGCCCGACGAGGACAAGGAGAAGAAGAAGATAAAGGCCAAGAAGGAGCGGTTGGAGATCCGCAGGAGTCTCTTCAACATCCTGATGGGATTCGTTTTTACCATTTAAAAATAATTAAAAAGGACTGAACTCACCCCTCCCTCTCTCCCTCTCTATCTCTCTCTCTCTCCCACTTTCTCTCTCTCTCTCTCTCTCTCCCAAAATTCCAGATATTATTCTTTTAAAGAAAATGGGAGGAAGACCGGTCGAAAACCTGTGAGTGTTTTTTTCTCTCTCTCTCTCTCTATATATATATATATAATATATAAATAAAATAAATATACAATAGAAATAATTGCACGAGTGATGGGGAGAGGGGGGGGGGAGAAAAAGGAGTGGCAGGGAGAGAGAGAGAGAGTGGGGTGGGTAAGGGGAGGGAGGGAGGGAAAGAGAAAGGGGGGGGGGAAGGAGGTGAGAGGTGGGGTAAGAAGGGAGGGGGGGAGAAGGGGGAAAAAAAGGAGTTAAAAATGCAGAAAATATGAAGGTAAAAGCAGGAGGAGAGGTGGTGGTGGGGACAGCATCTTCCTCTCCTCCTCCTTCTCCTCCTCCTCCTCCTCCGGCTGCTGCTGCTACTGCTGATGGCTCCTTCCTTCTATCCCCTCCTTTCTTCCTCCTCCTCCTCCTCCTCTTCTACCACCACTCCTTCCTTCCTTCCTTCCTTCCTTCTCAACCCGGGTTCCCACTCAACTGGAGGAGAGGGAGAGGGAGAGGGAGAGGCGGCCACTGCGGTGCCCACAGCACAAGGGGGTGGGGGATGGGGGGGGGGCAGAGAGGGAGGAGAGAAAGAGGGAGGAGAGGGAGATTTATAATCACCAACACGACCCCGAGGAGGAGGAGGAGGAGGAGGAGAAGCGGTGAAGGGTAAGAGGTTGGGTGGGTATTGAGTTTTAATTCAATTTAAAAAAAAACTGTTAATAGTTGCGGCGCTGGAGGGAGAGAGAGAGAGGGAGAGAGGGAGGGAGGGAGAGAGAGGGAGGGAGGGAGGGGGGTGGGTGGGCGTGTGAGGAAGGGAGGAGGAGGAGAGGGAGGGAGGGAGATTGATAATTACAGACACGGCCCCGAGCAGCAGCAGCAGCGGGAGGAGGAGGAGGAGGAGGAACAGCAAATAGTAGTAACGATGGGGAGAGAGTAAATTTTCAGAAAATGTTCAGCGGCGCTGAGAGGAGAGAGAGAGAGAGGGGGAGAGGGAGGGGAGAGGGAGGTGGGTGTGTAGAGGAAGGGCGGGGAGGAGAGGAACCTTCCTGTTTGGTGTCGCCCCCTCCGCGGGCCGGGCCGGGCCGCCCGGGCAGTGTGCTGTGCTGTGTTGTGTGTGAGGGGAGACCGAGCACAGGGAGAGGAGCCGCCGCTGTCTGTCTGTCTGTCTGTCTGTCGGCCCGCGAGCCCGCAACCATGGAGACCTCGTGAGCTCACAGAGCGCTCGCGCCACCCGATAACCGCTGACGCCAGAAAGCTCTGGAAACCGGCGAGGGAACGGCGCGGCCGCCATCTTTGTGAGGGGCATAACACGGAGCCGACGGGGTGGGGGCGCCATCTTTGTGAGGGGCATAACGCGGAGCCGGCGGGGTGGGGGGGGTGCCGCCATTTTTGTGAGGGGCATAACACGGGGAGCGCGCGCCGCCGCCATCTTTGTGAGGGGCGAAGGGGTGGCCGCCATCTTTGTGAGGGGCAAAACGGAGCGAGAGATGCCAACAGGTGCCAATGTGACGGGATAAAAGCAAATGCTTAGGGGTTAAGAATCCACAGGCGCTTCTGATAATAATAACCTCCGCCGTTGATAACAGGGCCTTATCACGTTGTCGAGATGTCTCAAACCTTACGCCCGAGCAATTACTCCTTTCGTTACACGTTCCGCCCACAAAACACACAGTCACACACACACTCCACTTTCCAGTACATTTCTGTGAAGCGCTTTGAGACTTGAGTCGCAGTGACGCGATTAGGCCCCATGTCAAATGCAAGGATTCTTTATAATAATAATAATAATAATCCTTGCATTTGATATAGCGCTTTTCACGTCAGGAGGACGTCCCAAAGCGCTTCACAGAACGCACTGTAAAGTGAATTGACTGTATATTTGTGGGCGAACGCGGCAGCCGATTGCGCACAGCAATGTCCCACAAACAGTCGTAGATTGAAAATGACCAATTTATTATTGTTTTGGGGGTTTTGGAGGGATTATTATTAGGCTCTGTGTGGAGTAAGGAAACTTGCCCAAGGTTTCGCCCTCTGCCTGGAATTGAACTCAGGTCTCTCACTTGCAAAGCGAGTGCTCTAACCACTGAGCTACAGGACTCTACGTCGTCCATTATCATCACTCCTTTTGGTTTTAGGATTAGCCAGGCACACGCTTTAACAGAAGACCATAATCTCTGCACCAACAACAGTTTGTGGCCTGGCGCCAAGCCGTGGAGAGAGGAAGGAGGTGGTCGGAGGACGGTCAAAGAGGGGTGAGGAGCTGTGTAACTATACACCAGTAAAGCCACAATCGCTTCCTGTTTGCGAGTGAGAAGGGGGAGAGGCAAAGGGAAGCGGCCGCATCAACAACAACAAAATTACATTTGTATAGCGTAGTTCATGACGGGGGGGACGGACGTCCCAAGGCACTGCAATACCAGTCAGAGGAGGTGAGGTGCGAGGAGGCTGAGCTGGGGGGTGGGGAGACCTAGAACTGACTCCTGATAAAGCCCCCCCACCCTCCCCTTTCTGCCGCCATCCCCCCACGGCGTCAGATTTAACGGCAGATTGCCCAGCTTTTAATCCTATCCATACCCCCCGAAACATGCACATACAACCTCTCACTAACTGAAGATTTCCCCCCGTAGTCAGAAGTGTGACACTTGCGGCTCGAATTCAGGACCCCCCCCCCTTAAGAATTATTAATTCGGCTCTGCCTCCCCACCCCCAACCCTGATCCCCTCGACTGTTTCTAGTCCGGCTCTTGAGCCAGGCGAGTTTAATCAAGATTAATAATAAGGAATGGCAACCGAGAGACTCGATATGCTCTGCAGAGTTACACATACGTACATAATGATACAAATAAAAATACAGTAATACATAGTTTCTCTTGGACTGTACTTACGGTCACCTCCCAGCTCAGCGTCGAGCTCCCGAACACTGTGTGAAGGGTGCGATCATGAATGCAGGTTGTTGTATTTATGTATCCGCGTAGAGTGATTCATAGTTAAAAGAGTTATATAGAGTTAACAGTTTGTATTTATGTAGAGCGCCCGTCATGCGAGGTAGCATCTTGCAACGCTTAAAAGTGGCGGAGACTGACTCCGAGCCAGTAGCGCGGTCGAAGAGAACGCTCTTCAGGCGCGATCTAAAGAAAGGGGAAGGAGGGGACAAGGTGGAGGGACTGAGGGAGAGAGTTCCAAAGTTTTGGGGCGTGGTGGCTGAAAGCGCGGCCACCGATGGTGGAGTGGAGGGAATGAGGGACAAGCAAGAGGCCAGAGCCAGTTGAGGGGGGGTGGCGGGTGGTGGAGGATGGAGTTCTCTTCCTCGCTTCTGTACCCCTTTGTTCCCTCTCCCCCCATGTATATGTTTTCTTTTAAATCTAACCTGGGCTGGACACTCAGGCGTGTGAACCTGAATTAAAATGTGGCTTTTAAGCCTATTGCAAAGGTTGTGCAGTCAGTCGAAAAATGTCTTGATCTCAATCATTAAAGCAGCGGAAACGATTATTACAGGAACAAGGATACAATGAGAGGTCAGGAGGAAAGTGTGAGGTGGTACATTTTGGTAGAGGGAATAATACAATATGTATTAATGTAGAAAAAGTGTGAGGTGGTACATTTTGGTAGAAGGAATAATATAATATTTATTAATGTAGAAAAAGTGTGAGGTGGTACATTTTGGTAGAAGGAATAATATAATATGTATTAATGTAGAAAAAGTGTGAGGTGGTACATTTTGGTAGAAGGAATAAGGAAGTCACATACATCCTGGAAAATAAAAACCTAAATGGGGTCGAGGAACAAAGGGACCTACGGGTACACATACATAATTCACTAAAAGTAGCAACGCAGGTTAATAAGGCCATAAAAAATGCAAACCAGGCATTGGGGTTCATTTCTAGAGGGATAGAAATGAAAACCAGGGAGGTTATGGTAAACCTGATCGAACCTCGGTTAGACCACACTTAGAATACTGTGTGCAGCTCTGGTCCCCACATTATAGAAGGGATGTAGAGGCACTGGAGAGGTTGTAAAGGTTCATCCCAGAGCTGAGAGGTTATACCCATCAGGAAAGGCTGAACATACTTGGACTCTTTCCTCTTGAAAATAGGAGGGTAAGGGGTGACCTGATAGAGGTCTTTAAAATGATGAAAGGTTTTGATAGGGTAGACATAGGGAAAATGTTTCCACTTGAGGGGGAGACCAAAACCAGGGGCCGTCAATGTAAAATAGTCACAAATAGATCAACAACAAGATTCCATTTATAAAGCGCCTTTCACGTCAGGAGGACGTCCCAAGGTGCTGCACAGTTGGGTCATGACCCGAGCAGGGGGGAAATGGTCAGGGTGAGGGAAGGGAGGGAGCGAGGAGGGGGGAAATGGTCAGGGTGAGGGGAGGGAAGGGAGGGAGCGAGGAAGGGGAAGAGAGTCGAGAGGGGAGCTGAAGGCACGGTCAAAGAGAGGGAAGTCAAATAGGGAAGTTAGAAGACATTTCTTCACGCAGAGAGTAGTGGGAATGTGGAACATGCGACCACAAGGAGTTGTTGAGGCAAATAACACAGATGTATTTAAGGAAAAGCGAGATGGGTACATGAGGGAGAAAGGAAGAGAAGTTTAGTTTGAAGGCTTAGTTGAGGAAGGGCAGGAGGAGTCTCATATGGAGCATAAACACCGGTATAGACCAGTTGGGCCAAATGGCCTGTTTCTGTATATTCTAATGTAGGACAGGACAATTATTTTTATGAGCTTATTCGACAATGTTGTAGAAGGACCAAAAGATGAGTTTTTTTGTTTTTTTACAGACTGCAAACTATTTATTGAATATTGTTTATTGAACATCGCGATTTATTGAATGTCTCGATTTCAAACGCTTCACACTCATCTTCAGATGCCTTCATGCCCTGGCACCTCCGTACCTCTCCAACCTGCTTACT